CGCATGAATGGATTAACGAGATTCCCACTGTCCCTATCTACTACCTAGCGAAACCATAGATTAAGAGAAATTTACAGATTTTTCAACAACTTGTGAAACTTATTCAACTTTACACTGGACATAGAATCTTTCTCCAGTAAAGAATATGCCAACACACTATTGTTATATGTTAAAAGTAGATATTGTTTTTATTATGTGTTCATGTTTATAACCAGTCTCTTTCTTTGCACCAACTCAGTTAGTTATGGAGAAATACAGAAGTACTTTTCAACATTTTCTGATCGAATCTCCCGTTATATAGTATCTTATTTACTCTTGGGGTAAATCACTTTCACCTCAAAATACCAGACCCCTAGGGTTTAGTATGGGTATGCGTAGTATTGAACTGACTAGCCAAAGGGAGGGAGCCAACCAAAAACACCCATCGCCAAAGGGTTCTGTGCGGCACTCTGAACCTAACAACAGGATTAAATGACACTTTTATGATGTGTCAAAAACTGGAAGTATAGAACATGTTCATCAGCATTACACCTCTAACCTTGGACCATTTGATCTGCAACCTGATGCACTAACCACCACGCCCAATCCTGGGGATAAATGCAGCGAAGACAGCGTTCAAGTGCCTTTAGCACAATAAAGTACGTGAAGCTATTTCACGTGTACGTGCCCATTCTTGATATTTTAATGAATTATTAGCCGCATGCCCATCTCTTAATATGCCGTCGCTGTTTTTTAAGTCTGCTATAATTCTTCCATTTAAAAGTTTTTGTGGGAAAGACTGCTGGCTTTATAAGGCTTAAACCATATATGGCAAGGAAATGTTCTTGGACAATCTCAATAAATATAGTTTTATTTATTCATAAAATATATTCTTATACATGCACGATTTCGCATTTTATCTTACAATCCACACATGAATGTGTATCTCAGTAAAAAATGAATATTCAGATTTTCCTTATTAGAACCTTATAACTACATGGATCTGCATCAGCCTCTTTTGTATTTTCATCTGTGAAGATCCCCCCTCCCCATCCTTAGCTTTCATATCTGTCTAAGCGATTGTGTTATTGATCTAGTGTCAGTCAGCTTGTTGCATGGTTTTTAATGCATGTTTATGCTAACTCCTAAGCAGGACTCCTTATATTATGTAGTGGAATAACTATATTAATTTCAGCTGAAATTTATTCCTCAACTTTAGCTAATTCATATCATTTGGTGACATTTTTATTTGTTAGTAGTGATTTCCAAGCTCACTTTTGTTGTAGTAAGGCTTTGTGTCAGTTCGATTTGCTCATGATGTTAACCACAGTAATGAAAGTCTTCCACTCAGCTATTTTTGACGAGGCTGATAGAACACAGGGAAATATTGTTGCTTGCAAGTATTGAAATAACGATCTGTTCTTTCACACACACACACACACACACACACACGCATAAAACAATATTTAACTTTGAGGAACTTTCGCCTAGATACCAATTGCTTAATGTGTTGGTTATATGTTTTTATATATATTTGGATGACTCTGTTATTTTGGGTTAGTGGCCTGTGCTTCGTTTGTTTTGTTT